TCTAAAACCTTTTTGTCTTGCAAGCCTAAAGCTCCCCTCCCACCAATCAACTCCCCATCTCCTCCCCCACAGCCCTGGAAGCCACCATTCTACTTGTTGTCTCTCTTAATTTGACGTGTGGAATCATTGTGTGTAAATATCATATTTTATATATCTATCCCCTCATCTACAGCCACACCATGGGGCTGCTTTCATCTTTTGGTTGTTTTTTTGTTTTTGTATTTTAGGGAGGGATCCACAGGGTGTTCAGGGTCTCACTATAGATCGGACTTGTAGTGATCTGCCTGGTTTACAGCCTCCCAAGAACTAGGATTAATCTTTTGGTTATTGTGACTAATGCTGCAGTAGACATAACTTCCTGCCGTTCTTGGAGCAACTGTATTTTCGTCTCTTCTGTCCTCCACCCTGCATCCAGTTACTATTATTTGCAAGGGCTGTATTCTGTTTATCGTTTTATTTCCCTTACACAGAACCCGGCACATAGGAGCTACTTTTAAAGTGTTTGCATGGCTAGCTTTTCCTACATTAATTTTTTTTAGATTTTAAGCAAGATCAATAAAGAGATTTTTTCTTAGAATCTCATAGTAAAGGTTCACAAAATTTTGATAAAAACCAAATCTGTAAAAAATAAATAAATAAATAAGAATTTTCTGCTTTAAGTATGGATCAGCAGAACAAGAAAAGTTGCTGGAGAAGTTGGTGGGAGGCAGTATTTTTACACTAGTACTCACAGTGCTGTGGGTAATACAACCATTTATTTCCGGATTTCTCAGAAACCTTTGGACTCACAACTTTACCTCTTAACAAAGATTCAACTCATTCGTGACAGAGGTTTTGATTTCCATATGTCAAGAAGATAATCCACAGTAAAACTTGTCTTTCTGTAACAAAGTCCTTGGTAGGGCTGAGCAGCTGTGTTTCACTGTCCTTCGGGTCATAGATGGAAAACTCTCCTAATGCCACCTAAGCGCAAATGCTCACGGCCTGACTTCCCAGAATTAATACTGCCATCAGCCAGTAGCTCTAGCACCTAGAGAGTTACCTAAGAAGACAAAAGATTTAATCAGCGTAGTAAGAGGACTAAATCACCACTTCCTGCTGTCCTGTGGCTGAGTCTCCTGTGCAGAATTAATCTGCACAGGAGAATAGAGTGGGGGTGGCATGCCAACTGCAGGACGGAGCTGGACAAAGGAGCGCGGGCTCTGCGTCCCTGCCTTGGGCCTGTGGTGGAAACAACTTCTCCAGCACCCCGCTTTCTTCAGGGAGCAGTCAGTCTCTGGAGGACTGGTGCTGAGGGTTCTAGGGAACCTGAAGGGCTTAGTGTGAGATAGAACACCCCTGCTCTCCAGCAGGTGCCAGAGGTCCTACAGTTGGAACCTAGGCTTCAGAGCAAAGCCACATCTACATTAGTCCATGGGTTTGGTGTCAACACCTGGGCTTTGGCAGTCACCAGGGACTGAACCCCATCTCTGCTTCTTCCAAATTGTGCCTCCTTGGACAAGTCACCCAAGTTACCCTAGTTATTCCTCGGTAAACTTTGACCATAATTACTTTCCTCCCTTTTGGAGCTGAAAATATTCCACTGTAAAGTTTCAAACTGGTAAAAAGAATTGTGAAGTGTGTCACAGAACCTCCCCCAGAGCCTATGACAAGATGAAGTGTGCTCCAATTATTGTCATTGTCTTCAAAGGGAAGAACTGGCTTGAACCAACAGGATTTGCTTGCCTAATTCCTGTTTCACCCCTCCAAGCTGCAAAGTGTCCAATTCCTGTCATACTGTTTGACCCGCCATCTCAGAAGGATTCACCTTTTCTTTTGACTCCTGTGAATGTTTTGCTCACTGCCCCAGTGACACCACACAACATGATAATATTTGTTTCCATGTCTAAGTGACACAGTTAATGTTATTGCTTAAGCTTTTTTCAGAACTATCCCCCTCTTTGTCACATTTCCCTAAAGGTTTCTCTTCCCTGTTCCTGTCCTATTACGCATTTTTATGGCACAAACACCAGGTCGAGGCAGATGTCACCCACAGTAAACAGAAGTGCAAACTATTCCTGTCTCCCCAAAGATGAGATTCTTCCTGCTGTCCTGTGGCTGAGTCCTGCCTCGGGCTACCCTTACATACATATCTGGCTACAGACTCTCAAATTTATCAGTCCCTCAGCAGATATCTTCCTGGCATTGCTGGGCCAAAGCTTCAGGGGTGAATGCTAACAAGTCCAATGGGCATCTCCTCTGAGTACTTGTAAACCCACTGGACACAAATGTCACTCGTCTGGCACCATATACCAAGACCTTTTCACTATCAGGCCAGACAATGTCTTTGCCACACCAGGATCTCAGGGTTCCTGCTGTAGGAACCAGGATCGAACTCGTTCTGTAGTTCTTTAAGTAACATCCCTGAGTTTCTAATTGCAAGCTGGGCTCTGTACTGTGCCTATGGTGTACAGGGATGAGTTCAGCAGGACCCCACCCTCCCTCACTCCTGCTCAGAGGGGACACTAGGGAAGACTGTTGGAGCAGGGTTGAGTGACAGCCACACCCAGGCCTGACTTAGCAGGAGGACAGTCCAGATAGAAGGAATAGGACTAAAAAGCAGTAAGGAGGAAAGTAGGAGTGACCATGGTATGTAGGGAGCAGAGCAAAGGGACCCAGAAAGACTCTTAAGAAAGAAAGCTAAGGTTATTGCAGGAAGGATCTGCTTGCCTAGCTAAGGAGTTTTTCCTTTCCCCTTCCACAAAGAATGCCGTGTGTGTGCAGCACTCACTGTCAGGTGTGCAATGCTGAGCAAAAAGGGTGTCATTCCTGCCCACGTGGGGCATCTGGTCTAGTGGAAACAACAGACACAGAAGTCCCCAAAAGGCGACATCTTTGCAGTCAGAGTTCTTGAGTAGAGTAGCTGACATGATCCAGTTTGCATCTTAGAACTCACTCACTCTGGCCAGAAGCATCTGTGTAGACTGGGGAGAATGAGACAGGGGAGGGGTGTAGAGGAGAAGTGGGAGTCTGAGCCTGCACCAGGGTCATGCACGGTGGGCAGGGAGTGAGTGTGTGTGACACTGCACAGGTAGAATACAGAGGACTTGGATGGCTTGATAGGTCTACAGTGGGTAGCTAGCAGATTTGAGGTGTAGCCCTGATGGGATAGCAACTGGGAGCATGGATGATTTTGAATTTGAGGTAGCAGTGGGGAAAGGGGAGAAATTTGTATGTAGGGAGATAGGGAAAGCGTCTGACCTGAGTATGTGTCACAAGTTGCCAGTATACGAGTGATGCTGTGCCGAGGATGAGATCACCTGCAGAGAGAATTAACTGTCCGGCCGTGGTCCCAAAGATGAGAAGCAAACCCTTCGAGCCTCAGGAATGGTGTTCTAGCCACACTCCTACTGGTTATCGGTAGCTGGTATCAGCTATTCGGTGACAAAAATAGCAACCCGTGCCATGGTACTAAATTCCATGAATAGATCTTTTTCCCTAGAAACTGGGGTGTGTTTTTGTTGTTTTTTGTTTGTCTGTTTGTTTTCTCCTCACATACACAGTGCAAAGTTTCTATTGTTTTCCTTCTCACTACCACAGCTTGGAAGCTCAGAGCTAACGCTATGACTAAATTTCAGAAGCTATATAGGATCAACATATCTAGATACTCTCTTCCCATTTTATATGTTTCTGCCTGAATTGTTTCTTGTTGTCTCAGTTGCTTTGTAAAATTAGATAGGGCACAATGATATGAAACTAAATTTGCCCCCACCCACATATTCGTGGGTCATCCTTAAAGCCTGCGCAGTATGTCTTCCTGGTTGCAAGCTAATATTGGCTAGATTGAAACAGGAGAAATGCTTGGAACTTGCAGAAGCTAGACAGTAAATTTATCACTCACGTAACTCATTAAAACAGGATAAAAGTGGAACTTCAAACATCTCTGTGTTTGCCACCAAGTCTGTGAAGGGGGTGGAGGTACCCTTAATTCAGCTCAAGATGGAAAAGTCTGATCTTTCAGAGTTGAGAATACACCACCGAAATTAAAGACTTGTCTGTGTAGATAAGCACTCCAAACATGTTCAAAGAAAGATCGAGGTGTCGAATATACAAAACTGGGATTTTTAAAGCCTAGGGTATCATCTTCTTGACTTGTAAAATGTAGTTGGTGAAAGTAAACTTCCTTATCAAACAGTTTACACAGAAAATTGACTAGATGGTAAATTCTATTTTTGATCACCCTATAATTGTTTTTAAAGTATAATTTTGTATAATTTCAAATTACTGGGTAAATGGGTTTCAAACTGTGTCCCACGGCTGGTGCCCATGGAAGGTCAAAGGTGCCTGCAGGGGGCTGGAGAGATGGCTCAGTGGTCTAAAGCACCTACTTAGAACAAGCTTGGCAAAGGGACCACGGGGACCATGGTTCGATCCTCCAGCACCACATGCCAGCCAGCCGCGCCCCCTGGTGGGCTGAGCTGGCCACACACACACACACACACACACACACACACACACAATAAATAAATGTTAAAAAAAAAAAAAAAAAAGGTGCCTGCAGGTGGGGCTGAGGAGAAGGCCACCAAGCAAGCAGAGCCCACCCACCCGTGTCCTCTCCCCAGCTCCCAGCAGAGCGGCTCAGTTCTGCCTGTGTAGCAGGGCTCCTTCTGCACGAGGTTCTATGTGACCCCAGAGCTCTATTCTTAAAAGTAAGAAGGAAAAGTTTGTAAATGGTCACATTGGAAGGCTTGTCACTAGCTACTATTGGGATGTGACTGTCACTGATCCAGAAGCAGGAGAGTGAAGACTCAGACATCTAACCGTGGAGTCCTGTGACTTTGGAGTTTTACTTTTTCCCTGAAACAGCTTCTTCAGGCATAGTTTGGAATGACTCTGAGATGCCAATGACTTCGTTAATTAGCATTAGTAAATCAGTAGGTGTGGAAGTTCTGCTAAATGGATGTTAACTACTGATGCCTCTCCCTCCATGCCTCTGACCCTCCTGCCTCTTCAATTCCCAGGAGGAACCCATCACCTTCTGCGAGGAAGCCTTCGTGTCCCACTATCGCTCCGGAGCCATGAGGCAGTTCCTACAGAACGCCACACAGCTGCAGCTCTTCAAGCAGGTGCCCAGCCTCCCTCCGCATCCATGTCTGGCCCCCTGCAGGGATTTCTGCAGCTGTGTCCACCCAGCCCCTGAGGCTGCAGGCGAGGAGGGACCTAAGTGGAGAGTTTGGGGAAGGCGATGGGTTAAAGAGGGTGGTCAGCCGCAAGAGAGGCCCTTGACAAATGTGCTATTTTATTATTTTGTTTTGTTGCATAACAGCTAGGGTGTTTTGTTTTAAGAAAACTCAGCTTTCTAGGTGCTTTCCTGTCCTGGAAAGTGTGGCTGGTCTTGGGGCATACTCCAAGATGCCCAGTTGGATGGTTTTCCCTGTTCTATGGGCAAGCTGTTGTGCTTTTTGCTCTCTTTCTTTCTCTCTCTCTCCCCCTTTAGTTTATTGATGGGCGATTAGACCTTCTCAATTCTGGTGAAGGTTTCAGCGATGTTTTTGAAGAGGAGATCAACATGGGGGAATATGCTGGTGAGCAACCCTCTTTTCCCTTCTAGAGTGTAGGCTGCTATGGACTAGGGTACAGCTGGCATGCAGCGGCACTTTGTTAGGGGTTGGGAAGATACTGGTTTCAACCTTAGCCTTAAAAGGGTTGGGAAATTCCTCTCCAGTTTCAGTGAGGTGCACATTGGCCTCTATGACACTCCCTGTCCTGGGGCTGGTCACTTTTCCTGCATAGCCAGAGTCAGGTGTAGTGGTACAGGGGATACACACAAGATAGTGATTTAGGGATCTGGATTCAAATCAGGACCTTTCCTCTTGACCAGCTGTGAGACCTGGGTCAAGTCACTAGTTCTCCTTTAGTTGAAGTTCTCCTATTTATGCCCTGAGAGTGGTACTGCCTGCCTCCCAGGACTCCTGCTGAGAGGAAATCAAAGTGGGGCTGACAGTTTTGTGCAATCACCCAAGATTTGGCCCAGCAAATGTTTCTTTGACTGTGGACATCATTGCTGCCAATCCAGTCTCTTTAGAACAAGAGGGATCATCTCATTTATCAGAGGCCCCAAGAAGGTGTCACTTGCCAATTGTACCTCCTGAATCACAGGTCCCATAAACTCCATCTTTGACTGGGAAGGTACTTTCAAATAATACTTGTAGGTTCAGTGTTTGACAGCAGTATTAATGATCATAGGCTCAGACTTTTATTGCAAAATGGTAACACATGTGTTGCTAGTCCCTCTTACTGCTATGCATCTTCAACCTGGACCTTCCTGGTAATCTGAAAACTATGCAGCTCACAGAGCCAGGTGCAGTCTCCACTTATTCATACTACAGGCCCTGCGAGCCCACACTGCACAAAGAACACATACGATTAGTAAGACCTGTATGGTGTCTATGCACAGTAACAGCAGATTGTTGACCAAAATTTCGTAAGCACTGAGGTATCCAGAGCTCAGAAACAATGGAGGACTCAGTTCTGCCCTCATGAGGTTAGGAAAGCAAAATGTATAACTAAAGCTATAAAATTAAAGCAGCATAGGAACAGTAGTAGCAGGTTTTTATACATTGGAATCATGCTTTCTTGATCTTCCCTGAAGGCTAGGCAGTTTCCCAATGGATCAGGGTTTGAGTTGGGATCCAGCCATGAAGTGTGAGTTCTAAGCAGAAGACAGGCTTTATTAAACTAGATTTATGGCTTCTAAAACCTTTCTGAGAGCCAAGGATATAGCTCAGTGGTATAAGTTTCTGCCTGGTAGGCACAAGGTCCCAAGTTCAATTCCCAGTACAGGAAGGTAGGGAAGGGAAGAGAAGGGAAGGGAAAGGAAGGGAAGGAGGGAGTGAGCAAGCTATCTAGCTTTCTGCTGATGAGATCCCTTAATCTGTATCAGATGAAACAGCATCTCCTTCTCCCTTCCCTGTCACTAGTCAGGTGTCCTGGAGGGTGAGTGTATTGCAGTAGAGTCCGTGCACTGGGATTCCCAGCCCAGGGATGATTTCTGCCCAGGCCTGGCTCACAGTATGTCAGAGAACCTGGGCTTCTAAGTGGGTGTTACCTATGTTCAGGGGATGTTCAGAGAAGAAAAACAGCAGCTTCCAGAGGAAATGACATTTCAGCTATCTATTGAGTTTCCCAGGCAGAGAGAAGAAGGGATGGAGGTCAGGGGAGGGAACTATATCACAAGGTTAGGGCTCTTGAGAGAACACTGCTTTAGGAACCACAGATAGAACCTCATAGCCAGAGCATGAGGCCATGCAGAGTGGAAGCCCAGGATGGAGAGGCAGAGGGAGAGGAGGTGGGACTGCTGAGGAGTCTATCCTCACTGCTTTTGGCAGCTAGAGGTCTGTAATCAGGGGCAGACAACTTGGAAAGAAAACTGTGGCCATGATTCACTACTGCCTCCTTCAGAGTGGGATATGGGAGCCTCCAGGCCACTCTCCTCACTGAACTTTCCTGTCCTGCATGCTGAAAGCAATTTGAAGAACTCTAACCCACAGCTTCTCTGACTTCTCTTTCCCCTAGGCAGTGATAAACTGTACCATCAGTGGCTCTCCACGGTCCGGGTAAGTGCGCCCTGTTCAGAGCCGTCTGGCCGCCTTCTTGGCCTCTTGGCTGTCCTCTGCTCACAACCACTTATAAAGCTGCCGTCAGGCCTAGAGCTCTTCCTTCTCTCAACTGAAGATGATTTTCTCTTCAAGTCAGGCTGTTCTCTTGCCAGGAAGAGACTAGAAGGATGGATGGTCCAGCCTCTCTGGGTATAGAGAGAAAAAGGAAGTGAGACAGGCCTCTTCCTGGCCAGGAAGCCAGCCAAGGCCAGCGAGCAGAATGTTGCCATCCTAGAACATTTCTGGGATCTCCTGTTAGGGCCAGTGTGCTTGTCATCATCATGGGGAAAACAAAAGTGTGTCCCTCCCTTGCTGCTCCACAGTAGCTATCACAGCAGGGGCTCCTGGGAAGATGGAGAACACATCCCTGAGAGATTTCTTCATCTCACAGTTGGTGTGAACAGTTTCTTGGGGCAGAAGCCAGTTGCTTAGGCTTCCTGACACTCTAAAGAATTGAAATTCTTGCTTGCCTTTCCATGAACTTATAATTGATTATGTGCTGGAGTCCTACTGTGTGCTGGACACTATCTTGGTACTGCGGACACACAGGGAGCAGCACACAGGCCCGCCCTGGGGAAGCTCCCCATCTTGTTGGGGACACAGGCACGTAAACAGGCAACTCCAGCATAATGCGATAAGTGTTCTCTCCTGCTTCGGGGCCAAGAGCACTGTGCCAAGGCAGGTCCCTTGGAAGTGGCTGCAGTTGGCCGAGAGTAAGCAATTCTTTGATGAAAGACTGCCTTTGTTCTTCTCCTATGGCCAAACACAGCACTTGGCAAATCAGGGACAAGCAATAAGGACTTGTTGATTGATTGATAAAGGGAGTTTCAATACTCCAAAGGACCATTTAACTAGGATACTGAGTAATTTTGGAAGGCATTATGGAATAAATGAGTGGGTGAAAATTTCCTATTGTCCTACAACACAAAATGCTTTCTAGGTCAAATTGTAATGTTTTTAATTAAAGCTCAAATTTTCTAATGCAAACAGTTACCAAAAACTGTGCTAAAAGTTAAAGCCAGCAATTGCATTGCTGTCTCTTCTGCAGTTATATACCCACTTGTTCCAGTCTCTCTCCACTCAAATCGGTTGGATTAACTTTCCAAGCCACCCCAAATCTGATTATGTAAGGCATTTGATTAAAACCCTCCAACATGTAGCCCTATTACCTAGGTATGCCAGGCCCTTCGTGATCTGTCCCCATCTGGCCTGCCAGCCTCACTCTTTGTTTCTCCCAGGATACTATAAACACTGTACACTTAGTACTTGGTACTTCCAAAATATACCATGACTTTTCAGCTTTCATGCTTTGCTTATGTGCCCTAAGGATATCATATCATAAGCTCCTGTCCCCCACTTCTACTCCTCATCCTTCATGGATTAGGTCCAATGTCACTTGCTGTGAGATCTCCCTTTACCTTCTGTGTCTCCAAGACCCCTGAGCACAGCCACACCACCTGCTCTGGCATTATTTACCATAGGGAGGCCAACGTCCAGGCCAGACAGAAGTCTTTTCAGGAAAGGATCAGGCCTCCCTTGGCTCCAGGCCTCGGGCCTGGGAGCCTAACAGCCTTAACACACCCACCCACAAGGAGGAGACCAAAGACCAGGCTCTCAGGCAGCTCTGGAAAAGTGGCCTCAGCTGCCTTCACTGCCTGTTTTAGGTAGTGGAAAATCCCTCTGCACCTTCCTCCCCACTTCCTAAAGAATGTGAGCAAGACACTGGTGTGGAGGATTTCTTCTGCAGCTCCAGTTGACACTGACAGCCACTCATTCGTTCTTACTCTCAAGATTTAGATGTTAAAGAAGGCAGCCTACCAGAGAGAGTTTTTAAAACAGAAAACCCAGGTGAGAAAGGAAGTTGCCAGGTGAGGAAAGGAAGTTGCCCAGGGTGAGGGCAGTGTGTTTCCAGATAGCTCTTGTTGATCTGGACCCCGTTTTCTGCCCCAGATTGGTGTCAGCTGGAGAGTCAGTGGTTATGAAATTCACCTAAACATTGTCCATGATAACTAGCAACTCTTGAAAATTGGGACTGCGACTATGAGAAAACCCTTACTTTAGACAGCCTGGGACAGGGGACAGGTACCACACGGAGTACTAAACCTAGTGTCTCCTCTCAGCTACTTGTCACAGTCCTCATCCCCAAGTGCATCTACCCCCCTACACACACACACACACACACACACACACACATACACACACCCTTACCCCGAGCAGTTCTGCCACAATCCCAGCTATCTATGCCATGGCCTGGGAACCATCTGGGGCGCTTCTCTGCCCACCTCCCATACCTTGCAATGTTGCCTGACTTGATGAGAGTGAAAAGGTCTTTGCTGGTGTTGGCCTTCTCTGTCTTCCGCCCTGCCAGTGATTGACATTCTTTATTATAGAAAGGAAGCGGAGCAATTCTGAATACTGTAAAAACAAAAGCCAATCCGGCCATGAAGACTGTCTACAAGTTCGTAAGTACCAGCCTTGGTCTCGGGATGCAAACAGATCGATTCCTCAGCACAACCAGCCTCTTAAATACGCCTGATCCTCTGCTGCATAGGAGACTCAGGCTGCTGCCCTGTGTCCCAATGGTCTCAATGTTTCAAGACTCAACTTGGCTTTGATATTTTATGACCAGGTCAGTGACATTTTAAATTTAAGGTGTTGCTGCTCACAGTCACTGCAATAAAGAGATGGGGCTGTTTTCATTTTCGGCAAAAATGAAGGGCTGTTCCTTGCATTCTGGAGCCCCAGAGGCATGGCTTGACCAACTTTTCCCGCGCGTCCCCATTCTCATGTTAGAGCAGCGCCTTAGCAGGCTGCTGAAGAATGCGGTGGTGGGAATGCCCCTTAATTTCTGTCCCAAATTCTTCATTCTGTCTCTCATTGCTGCCCTGTAGGAAGTACATTATTTGTAAGACTCGTGCCCACAGCAGAGTGAAGATAGGAGAACCCATCGGTGCCTGTGCTCCATCTTTTACAAACCTCAAGAATTTTTTTTTTCCTTGTGATTTCTCATGCTAATTTGACCCTGAGCCACTGAAGTGAGATAGTTTTGTTTTCCTTTTTAATCATCTTAGTCCTCTCTGTGCTTAAATAGCAGTTCTTGAAACAGGATAAGTGGCCGCCAACAGAACAAACAGGTCTAAAATGGCATAAAATAAAAGCCAGGGTGTGCATCTACATGAGGTTCAAGAGGCCTGGGAGTTGGCTCAGTAGAATAAGTGCTTCCCTGGCAAGCGCAAGGGTCCGAGTTCAATCACCAGTTCTGGTTCCACCAAAAAAAAAAAAAAAAAAAAAAAAAAAAGAATACATGAGGTTCAGGAGGTGGCGCCAAGGAAATGTAGCAAATGTATCTGTTCTGGCTGTCCAGCCTGAGCAGAAAACTGGACATGAGGCCCTGCCACAGTGAAATGTAATGATGTTCTGAATCTAGCAGCCAATGAAGCTGCTGTCCTACTCTTACTGGTGTCTGTCAGCAGGCTGCTGAGATAAATAATTATAGAGAGCAGAAGAAGAGGGGAAAAAAATCTGTGCCACCAGAATGCAGAAAATAAAGTCTCTGCAGCCCCTTTAAGGGATTTTTTTGTAACCTTTTACCATTGTATTTGTTTTCATAGCCATTATGTTTTCGACTTGATGATCCCATTTTTCCTTCCCTTTTTCTAGTAATCAGAGAAGGTGATTCACGACGGACTGAAATCAAGCATAGTCCCTGCTGGAAACAGAAAGGGAATCTTAACTTAAATTAATTTTTCATGCAGGCAAAAGATCATGCAAAAATGGGAATAAAAGAGGTGAAAAACCGCTTGAAGCAAAAGGTACTTGAAGTTCTTATTCAAAATGTATAAGCACCGTGTATGAAATGCGTGGCCACAAAAAAGTAGGATGTGATCAATAGAGGGCTGTTTGATACAGTGTTGTTAGCACACTTCAAAATGCATTACCAGCTGTCCGGGAGTTTTCACACTGTTATAAATATTCACAGACAAAAAACTGTCTTCAAATAACATTAAGACTGTGGCTTAAACCCACAAAGGCAAGCAAGTTCAGAGTCACCACTTTCGGTCTGTCCCTTCTCTGCCCCACTAGGCCTGGGGTTTGAAGGCATTTGTAGAAGTTGGCACCCCCCCAATCCTGGCACCACCCCTTCCTCCAGGAGCCCTGTACCCCAAGGCCAGGGGTGGCCCACACCAAGGAGCTCCAGGGAAAGGACTGCCCTGGTTCCTCGAAGCATACAGTTCCCACACATACTGCACCGCAGGTGGGCTGGAAGAGGGTGCTGCAGGCTCTCCTACCGAGCTGGATTAAACAAGAGGAGGCCAGCAGTTTATGTGTGAGCAATGTGTCTTCTTGGACTATTGATAAAACTGTGTGAAGGCACACTGGCTGCCTCCTGGATGAGATTCCCCCAGTCTGAATCTCTGTGCTGTATTATTCCCATTTCACAAATTAAGAGACTAATGTTTCAGAGGTAACGTAATTTGCCCAAGGCCACAGTGTGTGAGCCGAGCAGAGGCAGGATTAGATTCCAGATCTATGACTCCCAGCATCTGGGTACTTCCCACTACAGTACTTTGTGCTGCCTTCCTAAAACAAGTGTTTTATTTTCCAAAAGATGTGTGATATCACTTACTTCATTATCCCAGTGCCCCCAGATGTACCATTCTAATCAGGGCCTTTGTCTTTTTTTTTTTTTTTTTATTGAAAGCAGTTTCAATTCTATGAAGTCAGAAAGGACCTCTAATTAACTTGAAATGGTCGAAGGAATTGATTCCTTTCTTTTAATTGGAAAATAATTTGCTCTGACTAAGCATTTAGATTCTTAGTTTCTGCTGACAGTGACTTCTTAAGCGCTGAGATCCACATCCTGTAATGTAAATCCAGGTAGCTGTTCTCTGTAGTCTCCTGCACCCTGCAAGAGGCTGGCAGGTGGGATTCTTTACTTAGATGTTATTCACATCACTGCATGTATTTATCTCCTATCCGGGTCACACAGAGCTGACTTGGATTGCAAATATGGCAAGCGCAAGGGCTTTCCCTCCTCTGTGTCTAGGTAGTAGGTTCTGCCTGGTTAACGTGTCACCTAAGGTAAGCAAAGTCAGGAGGCCCCCTGAAGATAGTGGACACATGTGCCCTCATAGGTCAGTTTACTCTCTGCAGAGCGCAGAGCCTGGGCTATCACCTGACCTCGCATCTGTCCTTCCGCAAAGCCCCTTTCTCTGATAGGTATCCCTCTCTGCAGCAACTGTGGAGCCCAGCTTTTTAAATGTGTTCATTCAGAGGTTCGTTTAAACAATCTAGATCACGTTCTTCCACACCACCTCCCTTTCCATCCCTTGACAGTACCTAAAGCCTATTTTTTCCCTCCCCTTCTCTTCCCCCTGCCAGTCTTTTCAAGAATAGCTTCAGGAGATAATGTTCTATAGAGAGTGTCAGTACATTTCAGGTGACACAAACGGTGAAGGCATTTTATAGAAATGTGGCTTGTCACCATTGGACTGTTGACAGATCTATTAGTGCACCCTTTTCAATTTTCACTTTTCCCCCCTTCGATCTTACAGATTTCCACAGACTTGATATTTTGCAGTTGTTCTTAGAAGAGCTGTTTTGTAATTGAAACTCTAGCATTGTTCAGTACATGCAGGCCCGGGGTCTCTGGCGCTCTCCAGCTCCCTTTCTTGAACTAATTTAGGATTTGGCTTCGCCTGACCTCTCGCGCTGCAGTGGAAAATATTTCCTTGGCTTTTCTCTTCCCCTTCCTTACTGCCCCCTCCCCTACACATGGAACCTATCTGTCTGGCTGCCTAGATGCGTCGAGTACAGGCATCTCAAGTTTGGTTTTTTCTGTGAAATTGAGGCAGTTCCCAACAAAGATCCAATTTTCAAATGTACTGGGTTGCCACCTGGCCTCCTCTAACTCTGCATAGCAATGGTGACCTCCCAGATATAATCAAGAACCCAATCTTGCCCTCTTTGCTCTTGCCTTGGGTTTGAATTGCAAATAGAAAATGTGGGGCCGACCTGTGGAGAGGTCATTGTGGTATGCGGCGGGTCCATCTCTAATATGACTGAGCAGGGCCCCTTCTCTGTCCCTTGTTCATTTGTGCTGCAGATTTCAAAGCCTCTGAAAGAGGAGTTTGCAGGATATCTGTGTGACCACTGGCAAATAATTGTACCTAGATCCTATAGCGTGGCTCTATTCCACACCTGCTCTGCTTCCGCCCAGCAACAAAAAGAGAAAGGTGGAGGTATATTTCTCTGGGTAAATGGAGCGAGGTGGTCAAGTTCTGCTAGAGGTTGGCCTCCTTTGAAGTCTGACTTGTTCAAAATTAGGAACAAGAAGAAATGGCAAGTATGCCACGTAGTTGTCACTTTCTAAGGGAGGATGTGGTGCTTCACTGGAACATGCCCCTTCCAGACCTGGGTTGCAAAGAACGTTGACAAATTGCATTCAACTCCTGCTCTGTGCCAGGTCGGCATGAGGATGCCCGGCACACGCTTCCACCTCACCTGCAGGAAACATTAAGCTACTCGTATAACAATGTGACTTTGTACCTCTTGAAGAAATTCTGAAAATTTTATCTTTTTTCTTTAGTGCCAAAATGTTATAACTGAATGGGCTCATTTCAAAGCCCTTTGTAAAGCTTCTAAACCTTTGATTTTTAAACAACAAATTGAGCTTGTTTAGAGCCTGTGTGATTGAAAGGGGCAAATTCACAGTTGGCTTGAGTTTCTGGCCAAACACTTCCGAGTGCAGTGAAGGGAGAGAGCAAGCACACGAGGTGAGCGGGAGCCAGGTAGACTCCTGCAGAACAGACTTTTTCACACCTTCTCACACAGCTGTCAGCTCCCTGTCTGCAGGCACATTGCAATAATCTGCTGTCTCAATCACAGAAATACAACTTTGGCTCATGGTTTTTATATCAATATTCATATTTTAATCTGAATCTCAGAGTAGAGAAGGTAGTTCTTCCTCCAGCAATCTAAGTCAGACAGGGTAGCTTCTCCCTCACACCTATGTGGGCCTTCCGACTCCCCTACATGAACATGTGGCTTGGGGTTTCTGAGGCACGTGAGCTGGGTTCCGTGCTGCTTCTGTACGATGTTACTGTGTGGCCTTGGGTGAGCCACTAGGCCTCTCTGAAACTAGCTAGAGGAAATTGATTTTTACTGATTAGAAGAGGTAATGTGTCTAATAGCACTTAGTAGCCACTCCATAAATGAGAGCTTCTGTCCATTGTCTATTTCATTTTGTTTTTGTTTTCTGACTCCGAGTCTCACCATGCTGCCCAGGCTGGCTTTGAACTCTCAGCAAACCTCCTGTCTCAACCTCCCAAAAGCTAGGATTACAGGCATGTGCCACCACACTCAGCTCTCCATTTTCTTATAGCACACACTTGGGGCAGCTTGTCTGCCCATGTGCACCCCAGCACACATCCCCTGAGAAGTGGCTGGTATGGAGCCACCTCCTTTAGGTTGCCCACGTGGCCACCAGAGGAGTATCCCTGGGACACAGGGCTGACCAAGCCACTCCTTTGGCTAAGACTTGTACGGCACTGCAAACCTTCCACCTCCTCACTCAGCAGCAAGGGTGGCCCGTCATTGGGCACATGGGCCTGCTGGCCCTCTGGTCCAGGATGCCCCCTCTCTTGGCTCAGCCTCGGTATCTCCAAGGCCGCGCACAGCCCTCTTTGTCCTCCAGCATCAGACACCCAGGGTTTCTCCCTCCCTGAGGGCTCACAGTCTCCTGTCCAAGGACACGCGGCATGCTGTGCCCATCTTCTCCACAGGGAGGTGGAAGTTAGCTCAACCAGGATTTTTGATTCCAGGAAATGCTCAGGGAAAGTGACAGGAATAGAATTATTGCTGCCTTTGCTCTCTACAGAGGGATGGGGTCTGGTAGAGCCCCAGCGCGCTGAGCCTCAGGGCTCCTATGAACAGATTTGCCACCTGCAGTGGCCTCTGATCCGAGCTCTGTCTGGTTTCCTCCTTCTGTGTGACCCTCCAGGACAGAATATTCTTCCCATCAGCCTCCTGTTTTTGCTTTTTAGAAATGACATTTAGAAGGTCAGTTTTCTCCTCTTTGCAAACAGAATACATGTTTATTAAGAAAAATTCAACAAATCAGAGAAGCAAAAAGAAAATAGTCAGGTTTTATAACCTGCATTCTCCCTTAGTACACCTTGAATATATCTCAGGCCACTAAATATTTCTTCCACATGTCAGTATTTTAAATGACTGTATAAAATTGTGTCTGCTGGGCATGTATACATTATTTAATCCCATATTGGACACCTAAGTTCCAGGGTTTTTTCTAGGCAAATACCTTTCTAGGTAAAGCTGCAACGATTCTTCTTTTTTTGGTAAGATAAATTTCTAGAACTAAAATTAGTGAGCCAAAGGGTGCGTACCTCCTCTAGGTTTTCACATAAGTTACCTATTGACGTTCCTGCCAGCAAGCTACAAGAACCTGCTGCCCAAGCCCTCCACTGGCAGCTCAGTTAGTTCTATCTAGGCCATAATTTCTGGAATTGCGAATATCCAAAGTTGTTGTATGAGTTCCCTACTCTGTACACAATCTCTGTTAGCCGATGTAGTAGGCATGTGCACTGTTCCTATTTCTTTCTTGACCTGGGCTCCTGCTGTGCTCCCTGTGGCATCTTAGGAGGTAGCAATAGTCCTTCCCCAAGAATGGAGAAGTCTGGCTGTGAGATAGCTTATTGGTCTAAGCACCTGCCTGGCAAGTACAAGGACCCAGGCTCAATCCCCAGTACTGGTACCACAGGCCATGCCAGGCAGGCTGTGCCAGCCACCAAAACCCAGTATTGTAGCACACGCCTGTAATCCCAGTTCTGGGGAGGCTGAGACAGGATCACTACAAGTCCAGGCTGCATAGGGAGACACTGTACCAAATAAATAAATGATTGGGGGGGGGAGGGATAGTCCTGTTCACCTTGTGATCATTGTGAGAACTCAGTGTGAAAATGAAGGCCGAGGGTCTGGAGAAGTTTTCACCATGGGAGAAAGGCCACCCTATAGGGTAGCTCTCTCCTGTCCTTGGCAGTGGTAAGTCTCTCGTGTTCAGTTTGCACAGCACTAGGGCATTTTTCAAAGCTTCCTCATGTCTTACCTCATTTAACTCATTCTCACAATAGCTTTGAAATTTTCCCAGCAGGTGATCATTTCCCATTGTAAGAATAAAGAAAGAGTTACCGAGATTAAATAAATTTGAAAGATCAAGCAGCTGGTTAATGGTAAAAACAAAACTAGAAGACAACATTTTTTATTTATAAGCTTAAACTCTGACACTTTCCCTAAAACTGCCACATGTATTTTAAAAAAAAATAGCTGTTGTGGATGGGCGTGGTGATGCACACCTGTAATTCTCCGCTCTTTGGGCGGGGCGGGGGGGGGCTGAGGCAGGATAATCACTGTGAGTTTGAGGCTAGCCTTAGCTACATAGTGAGTTAAGGTTAGCCTGAACTGCATAGCAAGACCCTACTTCAAAAAACCAAAAATATAAAAAATTAAACAAAATCACTATCATAAGGCCGGATGTGGTGGTGCATGCCTGTAATCTCAGCACTTAGGAGGCTGAGGCAGGAGGAGTGCTGAGAGTTTGAGGCCAGCTTGGACTACAACATGAGTTCAAGACTAGCCTGAACTTCATAGTGAAAACCCATTTTAGTCTCAAAAATTCAGATAAATAAAGTTATCATATTAAAGTTTTTTAACATACCTTCTTTTACCAGATTACTTTGCAGCTCCATTTTTTTTCAGGCACACACATGTACAGGGAAGCACAGTACCGTGGTATCTCAATGTACAAACTGAAATCTTTTTTTTTTTTTTTTTTTTGGTACAAGGGATTAAACTCAGGAACAAACCAAATTCTTTCACAATTCTGGTCTCAGAATTCGTTCCACCATTCTGGCTGCAGCCGAATGGCAAGCACATCCTGGACCAGTCTGAATTTGTTACTGTGTGGCCTTTTCAGCCTCTTGGGTTTATAATCTCAGTACCCTTCTCTCAATTCCAAATGCCTCCTGTATCCTCATTGCTTTCTGGCACAGACAGAGCCCCCAGCCTTTGTTCCTGAGCACCTTAGAGCAGGCCCTTTCCAAACAAGACATTTGTAGGTGGTGGCCAGCTGTCTCTTTCATCACAGAGCCTTCGTCTGGCTGAGACTGCCAGTCCCTTGGGGGCCACTTCATCCAAGCCCTCCCTGTAAAGCCAAGAGATCAGTAGTTTCCTGTGTTCTTTACCAAGCAACAGAGGTGCCCCAAGCCCAGCCTCCACAGGCAGCCACTTCCTTAGGAAAGGAGGCCAAGAAGGAGGCAGCTGGATGTGTGCATAAATGTGGATGTGTGGAGGGCAATGCATATTTGCTGTAGTTTCTTGAGTAGCGAACAATGTTCTACATCTACATGTGGTATTACTTAGCTCCTCACAGCCACCACGTCCCATTTTACAGATCAAACTGAAGCTCAGAAATGTTACATATGTTTCTTTCTTAATACACAATTATTAAATGACCAGCTGCTTTCCTGCATGGCCTACCATGCAGATTATTCAGCCAAGAAGTTAAGAGCAACCAATTATCAAAAGTCTTTAATGTGCAGAATTTAATGAGTATTAAGGGACTATATTGTGTTGACCAAAACATGTGTGTGGTTGTCCAAGGAAGAGAATTGGAAAACACCCTCACTATTTAATTCAGGCTGTGAGGTTTATTTACTTGGTTTAAAAAAAAAAAATTATTTAGGGGGCCGGGGAGATAGCTCAGTAGAATAACCGCTTGCCTGGCAAGCGCAAGGGCCTGAGTTCAATCCCTGGTTCCGCCCAAAAAGAAAAAAATTATTTAAATGTTATTTCTCTGTACTGAGTGAGATGTGTCTCACTTGTTGCACAAGTGGGCCACATCTGTGCTCTGTGTGATCCACGTTCATTACACCAGCAGTCGAGGGCCCGTGACCTGCCTTTTTGTGTGTGTGTGTGTGGAACTGGGGATTGAACTCAGGCCCTTGCACTTGCCAGCGGAGCACTTATTCCACTGAGCCATCTGCCCAGCCCCCCCTGCCTTTTGCACATTGGAGTTACTTGGTTTCTTTGATTTCATTCATTAGAAGTACAAATGGCATATAAATTTCTAGATTTAAAAATATTTCTTTGGTTCCCTAAATGCCCCCTGGGTCAGGGGTCCTCACTCAGATTCAGTCTCGTTATTCTTTCACTGAGAGACAGAGTAGAGAGGAGGAGCAGGAATACGCATGTTCACAAACAGTAACATCGTCAATGAACAAACTTCTGCACTCACATATAATCAAAGTAATGCAAATTAAAACAACAATGTGGTCTAATTTTTCACCTATTAAATTAGCAATACATTTTTTAAATGATAAGGCTAACAAGTACTGTGAAGCTGATAACACATCAATTGTTGGTAGTTGGTGTAAATTGGAAAGCAATTTGGTATAAGGAATAAAGTCTTTAAAATGTTTATTTTTTTGACCTAATAATTTCATTCCTAGGATTCCCACAGAAGAAATAATTTTTTAAAGAAAAGAAAGGAAAACTATAATATTTATCACAGATAGAAAGGTTTCTGAAAATTAGAAACAAATACCTACTAGCAGCAGAATGGTTTATTAAATTATTATATATCTGCTCGTTGAAATATTATGTATTCATTAAAATCATTATAATGGCTGTGTAACACCATGGTGATGCTTATAATGTATTAGGGAAAATAGGATATAAAATTAAGAATGAGCTGTGATTGCAAGTAATTTTTAAATGTCTGCATGCAGATAAAATGAATATATAAAAATGAAAATAACTGAGTAAGAGAGCAGGATAAAGCATGATTTCTTCACTATTAATGAATTATATTTTCTTTATAATTTAATGTGCATCATTTTGGTTCCTCAAGTCCTTAAAAGTCAAATTAGCTTTCCTTTCTATCTCTGTGGGAGGATAGGCTCAGCATCCCCCCAGGAGAGTCCCATGAGGAGCTCTGAGCTGTGGGGTGTGAGGGAGCCCAGGGGCCAAGGCCCAGTGCCCAAGCCCAGACCACATCCCTCCCTGCAGGACTTCGCGGAGAACGGCTGTGCCCCCACTGCAGAGGAGCCGCTGCCAAAGACTGCCCCGTCACCCCTGGTGGAGGCCAAGGACCCCAAGTTCCGAGAGGACCGGAGACCAATCACAGTCCACTTTGGGCAGGTATAGATGCTGGCCCTTTTTTGGGTCTGTTTCACTTTCTGGTTTGAGGGTTTTATTTTATTTGTAGCAGAAAATACAGCACTTGCCACAGAGAATTTCTCATTCCAGCTCTCTTTGGCAAAGCAGCTTGCAGTTTTCACTTGAAATGTTTATCTGGTACAAACAGTTTTGAAGGTGAATACTCAGAAATCTGGGGCAGACCGCATGGCTCTGGTCATCAGCTAGCTCTGCAGTTGAATGAAGTCATTAAATGCAGCTGCCGCCTCCCCTACTCCCAAGCACTGTGTTTAAGGTGCCTGTTAGCTAAGCATCTCATTAGAACATTTTAGCATCCCAGGCCCTTCTTTGCACCTTCAAATAAAAGCCAACAAGCAAAGCCTTAAAAAAAATCAATTAGGAGTTCTTTATTAATGTACTTCCTGAAAATCAATATTGGGAGTCATGCTTCTTAGAGTAAACATCCTTGCTACAATTCTAGGGATCCAATTTTTTACCCAACTATTTTCAATAACTTGAGCATTTGAAATTTTGTCTTACCCCCTCCCCCAGTTTACACGTCATGCTCCATATAGAAACTAAAAATTTTTTTATCCATTTCCTATACATAGTTAAAATTTTGGTTGAAAATATTATGTACCTTTCCCCACTTCTCTTGACTTGACTCCTTTGGTTAGTGAAAGTCGTAATTTTTTCATGAGAAATGGCTCTGTTAGCAAGATATGGCCATAACTAGAATCTGCAAGGTTATTTATTCTGAAATCGCCGATTCATTAGCCATTTATTAGCTGAGCAGATTAAATAGTCTTTATATGATTTTTCCTTTAAATGTGATTGTTATTTTAGCACATAAAGGACCTGGAATTGTACATTAAAAACAACACTGTTTTTGACAGCTGTTTCTCAAGTGCCTACTACCCACCAGGCATTGAGCGATTTAGCAATGAAGGGAACTAATGAAATTATTGCTATGATTGTTACTGGAAGTCATGAATTGGTTGAAACATAAGAATCGTCTTCTCTCGTCAATCTTTTTGGGTTATACGTACATTCCTACCTCTTTTAACTTAGAGTGATTTACCCCCTTTTCTGCTTGTGTGCCTTGAACGGATGTTATAAAATTTGAAATGTAGTGAGTGCAAATGAAGCAGCGCGGGTGAGGCAGTGCTCATTTGGTTAATGATCATCTTCAAATTGCAGCAGTGTCAGAGCCCCTAAAGAGCTGACTGCTCCCAGCCAGGGCCCGTTGGAAAATTCCGCACCCTAGTTTCCCGGCTGTGTTTGCTGAAAGCACAGCCCCTGGTTGTCACCAGCATGGCAGTCCACAGTCAGCTTCTTGCTTTCCTTTGTCCTCATTCCTGCACACACTAACCTGCCATGAAAGGAGTCCCTCGCTGGAGTTCGGAGCCCATTACAGAGAAAGAGGGGGCGGGGGGGGGAGAGGGATTTCATGGTGTTAAACATTCCATTTTTGAAACACAAAAAAGGAGGCCCTATTTGAAATAGAGAAAGACCTTCTTTCCATTTCAGCAAGAAGAAGAGATGCTTTAATGTCATTCCCAGCTAAATGCAGAATAAGAGTATGTGCATGCACACGGGTGGGGGATAAACAATTAAAAAAGCCACCCCAAACTCTGTTGAAATAAGAGCTGTCTGTGCCTTCACAGGTCTGCAAACTGGAGAGGATGAAAGTGGCTTTTTTTCCCCGTTTGTCACTTCCCTCACGTGGCTGCCAGCATTATGCAAGTGTACAGGAAGGCAGGATTTTTTTTTAATGCATGCATGTGGATTAAGGTCAAGCCCCTTAGTATCAGCCATGCAGCGGGCTCTCCCTTCCAGCTGCAGCCACAGAGCCTACCCACAGCCACGAGATGCCTTAATTGAGACGTGCTGTCAAAGTGACAAACACATTTGCATACAGTCTACACTCTATTTATTTTCTCTGGAAAGGTCTACAGTCTGCTGTTGGTTGAACACTCTTAATCAGTTTGCTGTAAGTGAACTGCCAGCTAGCTCACTTGTCCCGTCCCCTTCTTCATTAGGTGACAGATTAGCTGCTGGGGGATGGGCTAGGAAACCACAGACCCCTTTCTTTTAACTCTTTCCAGCTTCGCCTGCTGGTTGGCTGTCCTTCAGTGCTTCCCTAGTGCCTGGTTTGATGGCCCATTGGCCGCAGCCTGTAGAGCTACTGCTACTGGCAGTCGAGAGTTTTAGGGACTCTGGTGTTCTTCCTAAAGAACAGGCCTTTGAGTTCTAATTCAAACATTTTTGCCACACTCTCCTACCATCTGTACTTTCTTTGTTACTTGATGTTTGTCTTTAAACAGATTCAAACCCGAGAGCCATACCAACTTTAGCTTCATCTGAAGTGATTGGTAGTGTATCATAAGTTTAATGTAGTCATCCATTTTTTTCTAAACATGAGAAAACATTAGGCTTGTCCACAGGTAAGTGATTCCAGTGATGTAGCTCTAGTGATATATATTTTCTTTTGGGGAGAAAAAAATTGATTCCATAATATCATTTGTCATCTCAGCCATAGTACTTAAAGGAAGGGATCATTAGCCCTGTTTTAGGGACTCAGAGATGGAGCTCAGAGACCTGAAAGAAACTGCCCAAGACTGTGTCACAGGCATGGAAAGCAGAGACTGTGTGACTCGGGCCCACATCAGCTCCTATACCAAGAGGGATTTCAGCTGTTCAGTATATCTGGTGAAGCTGATGAGTCCCAGCAAAATAATTCACCTAGCAGATGATGCTCCTCAGTAACCTCAGGAAAGTCTTTGCATTTCTGTGGGTTTCCTTAAGAACCCCAGTGAGGATCCCCCCTATTGAGATGGTTGCATTAATCTCTCCACTGTGAAAAGATGGTGCCCATTCAGCTAGCCAGGGCAGCTCCATGGTGATACCCACTTGGTGACAGGGAAGGGTGTTGTGTCAGAGTGGCCCCTGTCAGAAAAGAAGACACTCTCCTCCTCTGCCTCAGGGTCTCAGCAGAGGTCCTACGTTGAGGCTGAGGCCACCCCTCCTTTCAGTTCTGTGTCTGTTCATCCACATACTATGTGTAAGATCCGCAAGGCTCCAGGCTCCAGCCTGGTACGGTGTAACAGTAGAGACAGCAGCGCATCAATAGTCCCACCCCAAATACGAAGGGTAATGAGAGAGGCAAGCCCGGGGCACTCCGAGGGCCCCCCAGCCTCTGCACAGCCTCAAGCTGGACCTTGTATTAAAAGTTATTTTGTCAAAAAATTGAACTCACTAGCAGGTCATTTGTTTGCTAAAGCAAATGTAAGTTACACCACTCAGAGCTTGTGACGAGCAAAATAAAAGTCGATTTGTAGTTGGCCTCTGCATCTTTATCATTTATGGTTTCTTTGAAGAGTTCAAAAGTGTCAGATAGCTGGAGAATGCCTATTTCTACCTTGGAAAATGTTTAAAGAGGATTTAAATGATTCTTTTCCCCCTTCTCATGTTTAGAATCAATTGAGAAATAAGGTCTAAGAGACAGTCAAATGAGATTAAAATGCCAGCTTTTTAAATTAAAACTAAAAGAATATTGCTTTAGACCTGAGGCCAAATGGTTGCTAAAACATTGCCTCAGAATTTAAAAGACTGACTTACTTTGTACCAAATAAGTGGACTGTGACAGCCTGCAGGCTCCCAGCAAAGAGGGACTCTGAGGTGGAGCTAGCAGGAGCGGGGAGCTTGCTAAGTTCCTTGCTATCCCCCAGGAAAGGACCTGCCTTCCCCCAGGGAAGGGATGAGAAGACAGGCAGAAACCACCTAAAGGTTCCCCTGCTTTTCTCTCATGGTGGGGTGAATGGCTGCAGACTGGCTCAGGAAGCAGCGTCCCCTCTGCAGGGCCTAGCAGCTCCCCCAGCCAGAATATCTTGCCTTTAGCCCCTCAAGAAGAGTTGGCAAAGGTAGCCTCTCCGTAGAAATTGCTCTGCTCCCTGCATTTAGTCAGATGGCCAAGGCACTGAGTCCTTTCCCGCCTGTGCTTGTTGCATTGGTTTTAACCATGAGCTAATGAGGAAGAAGGCCTCATAGCGCTTATACAAATGAAGAAACGGCTCAGCTCAGACAGTGTTGCTGGAAGGAGGAACCCATTCCTGTTGCAAAGCCAGCACAGCCCCTCTGCTTCTCTTGACCATGAATAGCTCTCCCTCCTGTTCAGGGACCTGGGTTGGCTCTAGAGTCCAGGAACAGTGGATTCAGCCTGCTCAGGCTGTTGGCCAGAGCCAGGCTAACTTTCTCAGGAGCCCTCCATTGATAGAAAAGACCATTGCCTGAAAATATGCAGTGAACCCCTTTTGGGGCTCTATCTTTACGTTTCCCCCAGCTGACTGATCTGCAAACAGAATAATTACCTGCTTCCCAATATGTCAAACTCTAAAAAGTTTGTATTGACAGGTGCCTCTATCCTCTCACTTGAGCAAAGACCTATGACCTTCTTTAATGTTGAGCTTAAAGAGCTGGTTAAACCAAAGCTGCAGTGGAGCCCCACTGCAGCTTCCAGAGAACTGGGCAGAGAGCTTTGGATGCCACCCTGGGACCAGCTCTTAGAATGCATCGCTGCTTGTCTGCAGAGTTCTCGCCTTTCATCCCTGAGCTGGTCATTGAGTGCCCATAGCCTGCTGGGCAGAAGGCACTTAGCCAGCAAATGGCTTCCCAGCAGCCTTGGCTCTGGGTGCCCTGATAAACTCCTTCTGCTCCATTGAGGAACACTCCCTTCGATTCAGCCATTGCTCGCAGCATCTCCGGCAGGTGTGCTGTTTTCCAGACACCTTAAGCACTGCCCTCCGGGGAGAAAACCCTATGCTTCTTCCATCCAAGTGCTGCTGCTGTCTGTCCAGAACCTGGCTCCGTGCACCACCCCAGAGCCTCTCTCTCCCCCAGCACTGCAAGTCCCTCCTCCATCTACTCTGCCTCAGCCTTGGTGCCAGGTGTGTGATCACCCAACTGCACTGTGCCACATGTCCCTGAGCTGTACCCCTGCTGCA